AAGCCCTGGGCAGAGGGAGCAGGAGAGGCAGGAGCCCCTGGGCACACATTCACACACATTCACACACATGAGGAGTGCAGGCCTTTCAGTTCGTCCCTCCCACCCCAGGATTGCCATTTCTGCCCAAAGCAGAGTTCAATCCAATGCATTATTGTCTCGTCCACTGACATTGTTTTCACTCCCCTGCCTAAGAACACTGTCCCCCAGGAACCTGATGGGACATCTGAGTGGCCTCAAGCAGACATTAGGTGGACCAGTGCTTCTGGACCACACCATGTGCCTTTCTTGCAAGGTGACTCTTACTCAGCAACTGAATTCCCTCCTGAAAGGAACAGTCAAAGAAAGGAGTGGGAAGAAACAAGGGTAGAAGATATGCTTTCTGTAGACAAAAAAATTTTAAAGAACTAGGCTTATACTTCTGCTAAATCCATAAAGAACCAAATGGAGAAAGGGAGGAAACTCCACGTGGCTGCACAGAAAGGAACAGGGAGCCCACACTGCTCATCTGTGGGCAGAGGGGAAGGGAGGCTCCTGTTCCTAAGGAAGGCCCCACTATTGCCCGAGCAGCCCTGAGTGGCCAGGAGAGGAGGCTGCTCTGCAGCCAGAGCACACAGTTGCATGAATATTAGCAAATGAACTTGTTTTCCCCTTTCCCCTTTGGTTTCTACCTCAGTGGCATACAATGCCTGCTGTGATCCAGGGGAATCTGCTATTGTTCTGATGCACCTGGGTGTGAAGGGAGTCACAGGGTCTGGCAAGGGAGCCTTCCTCCCTTCCCTGCTTCATCCCTTTTACCCCGGAGATAATCCCTCCTCTGCTGCCTCTGGCCTCAGCCATCCAGTGCTGCATTCCTGGAATGTAGCTGGCTGCTGTTCTCCCATCTTCCCCTGACCTCTTAATGCCATTTAATCTCCTGGAAGAAGAGCCCTGCCCTGCAAAGCAGAGCTGTTTGCTCTGTGTGTCCAAGTGCAGATCGTGAACAGGAAAAATGAACACGTTCATTTACAGCAAATGGGACCAAAACAGCCAAGAAGATGGCAGTTTCCATGTTATGGTCTGCAAAAGTTTAACAGCAGTCAGGATCAGGTGGGAAGAGAAGCTGGAGAAACCTTTCCACAGTTAGACTAAAGCTGCTTTAGTACATGAGAGTACTTTCCTTTTGTTTCATAGTTATCTACATTACCCCCAGAGCACTGACTCTGTAGTTTGCATCAAGAGTGGAACACGACTGAATCTCTTCACCAAAGACATACTTCAAGAGTCTTTTGTATGTTGTTAAGCTTTACCTTTTGCTGTAAAAATGGAATAAAATATCCTATTTGCTGGTAAATAAAAACAAGCCACAGAAACATAAACACAGTTAGGCTGACAAAAGACATTCCAATTATAACAGACACAATTAGAGAACTGCACAGAACTGGCAGGATCACTTGCTTCTAATGAAATGATTCCCTTTCCCAACAAGTGATGTTTCTGGCAGCCTATCATTTGCTGGTTTAATTTTACTAGATCAGTCGTGCTCCTGACTGTGGAAAGGCTCCAGAGGGAGAACGTTCCTAAGTGTAGGTTTGTTTTTAAAGCCCTGGGGCTCCCCCCATGTACTCACACACCCTCTCACAGACTGGTGGGAAGACTGGGCACATCCTGTGGGTCCTGCCAGAGGAGCCCCAACAGCTGCTTGTTTGACAGGGCACGTGTTCAGAACAGTCACAGCCTCTGTGTCGTGTTTATTCTCCAAACAGCTCAAAGACAACACAGGCAGACGTGTGCACTCTACCTAAAGGGCTGGAGCGAGGTGTGGAAACGAGGAAACATCACCCGTGTTAGAGTGTCCCTCTGCCCTGTCAGTGGTCACTCCCAGTGCCTGCCCTGCCTGGCACACTGGGAAGGATCCCAAGGACAGCCCTGGCAGCTGAATATGCACCATGTGCTCTGATGCTCTAAGTACATCTTGGCCAGTTTTTACGACAAAAACTAGAAGAAAGCAAGTAATAAGACATTTATGGAATTAAGGTTGGAAAAGACCTTCAAGACCATGAAGTCCAACCATCGACCCAGCACCACAAGGGATGTTTTCTGTAGCTTTGGGTCTTCCATAACAATTAACCTCACTTTTCCCCAAAATAGAGAGCACTATTCAGTACTACAAACTATTCATTTGAATCTTGTCCTTGCCTTGAAAATTGTTCCCCGTTCTCCCCCCGCATTAAACCTTGAGTGGTCTGTACAGTTCCTGCTACTTGTTGAGTACAGTTGGATTGCCCTGGAGTCTGTGGTGACAGCCCTGTGTTTGGTTGATCCAAGAGTCAACAGGAAAGGAACACCCTGGGGAAACCGAAAAGCACATAAAGGCACACCAAAGAAAAGCTGTGGTCCCACCCTCCCACTTGGTCTCCTGGTGTCTTACTAAGAACACTTTGTTTAAATCTTTATGGCACTGCCCCAGGCTATCTGGCTAAAATCCTTCTTTTCACCATCAAGGAGAGCTTCCCCACAATGCCTGAGTATTACAGAGAGCACCATTAAAACAATTCCATGATAAAGAAGGCTCTCCAAGGATGCCCGATCACCACTCGCCAGGATGAGCCACACGCTGGGGGATCTCACCCAGATAATTACCACTAAATTTTGGTGCACCATCAGCTGAGGTGCTGTGCCTCCAAAGGCATTTCAACATATTTTACCGATATTTTTTGTAGCCTCACAACTGCAGACACACAACTGTGTTTGGAAAGGCTGGAAAGCCACTCACTATAGGGTGAGAGATAATGAGTTAAAATTAAAGGTTGCTGCTGGCTCCCCAGCCCATCCCCCTTTAGCTAATCTGTCATGTAATGAAGAGAAGCCCCCAGCACAGGACAGCTCGCTGCCGGCTCACTTACAGCGAGCTGATTAAGAATGTTCAACCAACAGCAGCCCGCAGACCTTTCCGAGGAAAATAAATCGAGTGTATGCAAATGTGTTTGTCACTTTGACAGCACGTCTCAATTAGAGGCGC